CAGCGTCGCCGCTCTGAACCAGCACAGCGGGACCGCTGGTGCCACCCGGAGCAGCCACCGCTGGCTCCTGTTCCAGCTCCTGTTCCAGCTCCTGCTCCAGCTCCTGTTCCAGCTCCTGCTCCCGCTCTTGTTCCAGCTCCAGCTCCTGCTCCCGGCTGCTGCCCTGGGGGCCGTCAGGCTCCCCGCGCGCATCCTCCGCGGAGGCAGCGGGACCCTCCATGCGGCTCTGCTCCTCCTCGAGCGCCTCCGCGTCGGGTTTGCTGCTTTTCTTGCCGTGCTTGCTCTTCAGAGCTTTCTTTTTTCTGTTCTTCTTAGGGCATGAGTTTTGCTTCCTTGGCTCCTCCTCCGCTACGACGTCACTCTTGGGAGCTTCCTGGCAGTCTCTGGGCTTAGTTTCCACTTTCTTTTTCTTTTTCATTACTGCTGGGGTGTCATTTGCAGGCTCGTCCTTTGAGGAAGCTGCTTCAGCCTCTGCCTTTCTTTTGCTCTTCTTTGCTTTACACGGTTTCTCAGTACTTCTCTCAGTTTTAATGTCCACTTCCTTGTTCTCCGAAGCCGATTTCCGACTCCGGGTTGTCACCTGGCCTACACAAACACTGCTCGTTGGCTTCTTCTCCTTCGCCAAGTTCTCCTTTTTCTCCACTTTCACCGTTTTCTCAGTTTTCTTTGCCGCCGAATCCCCCTTCGCCTGCTCCTTCTCCGCTTTGTCACTGAGGCTCTCGGAGAAGTCGGCTTCGCTCTTTTTAGTCCGTAGTTTCACTTTGGAGACATCCATGGTGATGTCCGAGCAGTCGGGATGCCTGGACTTGATGTGGTACTGCAGGTTGCACTTCTTGGAGGCGGCGTAGTCGCACACGGGGCAGAGGAACTGGCGGGGGTTGACGTGGAGCTCCACGTGCTTCTTGAAGTTGCTGCGGTCGGCGGTTTTGTAGTCGCAGTGCGGGCAGGTGAGCGGCTTGGGCCCGTTGTGGACCTGCCGCGCGTGACGAGTCACCTCGTGCTGGTTGGAGGCCACGTAGCTGCACTGGTCGCACTTGAAAGGCTTCTCACCTGGGGAAGGAGCCGGGGAGGGGGGAAAGGTGGTGATTACCAAGCACAGAGCGGGGGAAAAATAACTGCTTCCCGGGAATATGGACACAGAGAGAGGGGGAAGCAAATACACGGAAAGGAAGAGGAAGGGGAAACTTCTCCATGCGCCTTTAAAATTAAACAGAATCAAAATGAGGAGTCCACAAATCACAAACACGTTCACGAGACACAACGAAAATGTGCCAAAAAAAAGGAAAGAAAAATAGAGAAGGGGCGAGGGCTGGGAGGGAGGGGATCCGCAACCAGACACGCGGGAACAACGCCACGGGGTCTGGCTGTGCATACGTACCGCCGGCATCTCGCTACAGTAATATTAGCAAATGGGATCCATACCCAACTGGTCCATTGAATGCATTGTAGAAAAACGGAAATTAACATTCGATAAATAGCAGTTTCACACACACACACACACACACACACGCGCACGCGCGCGTGTTTCACAATGGCCCAGCTTTACCCGGGGTTAGCACACCTCCCGTTTGCAGCGAGAGGAACCGAGGGAAAATCAGCCAGCGAGAAAACCCACAAGGCACGTGGCAAACCCAGGCCGCTGGGGTGAGCTCCCCCTGCGACACCCGGGCTCGCGGGCGCGGAGGCGGGCCGCGGGAAAGCCGAGCGCGGCCGCTCGCGGGGCATCGCGCTGCTCCCGAAACGGCGCGGGCTTACGCCGGGCTCCCACCATCTCGGCCCTCTCTTCCCTCCTTTTTCCTGCTTTTTCTGCGAGCCTGACCCCGAGGGGGCTGCACCAGAGCAGGTTCCGCACCCTGGGAATGTGCGCGCCACGGATGAGCTCCCGGTCGCTGGGAGCGAGCCCAGCATCAGCCCCAAAGCAGCTCCCAGTTCTGGAGGCTGAATATTTCCATGGGAAGTTCTTGAACCCAAACCCTGGGAAGTCACTTCAGAGCTGGCTGTTTTTAATGGGTCCAAACCCCACTCCACAACCATTAAAACTATCTTCTGATTTCAATTAAAAGCCTCAACTATTGAAACGGAAACAATTGCTATTTAA